TGGTAATCCGTTCTATAAATTCATATTTCGTAATGTTTAATTAAAGTCATTGAAGTTTCAGGTTTCAGCGATCGACAAAGCAATGATTGCATTTTTTCGGATATAAAGTAAAGGTGCCTAAATATGAAATAACTTTTTTATAAAGCTTGTAATTTATTTAATTTTCGTTTAACTTTTATTTTTATGTTAAATTTGTGATAAATATATTCAAGTTTTATCGCCAAAAGTTAGCAATCGATAATAGCTAAACTTTGTTTTATGTGAAAGTTGGTATCAAAATTGTCGAGTTTGCTAATTCAAAAAAAAAAAAAGAGTTCCTAGTATGAAATACAATAAAGAGTTTCCTTATATAAGATGGTATCTTAAAAAAAATCTCATAAAAGAATAAGAAAACCAAAGGAAGAAATATTTTGGCGTTAATTATATGCGCTAATCTACGACTACGGATACGGTCAAAATGTCACTACTAATGTTTTGAAGCATTTGACCAATCAGAAAAAAAGATTTTACGAATTGACCAATCAAAGCTCTAGCTAGAATACTTCAAAATATTTGTAAACAAAGTTGATATTAGTCGAATCATAGCATCACAAAGCATTACGATTCAATTAGAATCGAACTATATTGATGTGTCTGTGAGTGTACACACACACACACACACGCACACACACACGTACAATACCACTCATAATTATTCAAACAAGAGGTATTTAAAGCTAAGTGTACCTTATTATTGTTGTTAATACAGGTAATAATACTTTATTAGAATAATTGATATTGTTATGTTGATTGTGTAATTGTATTCTACATTTAAATTATTCAAACAACATTCAGCGAATTGTTTTCAAATTATTTTTGAATCAATATTATACTGAGTATGGTTTATTCATTATAATATCGATTTAAATACAATTGGCAAGAGTTTGATGAACGTTATTCGAATAATATAAATTTAGAATAAAATCATATAATCAATATACAGCAAAAACAGTATCAATTATTCTAATAAAATATTATCTGTGTTACCAACATGAAACACTTATTTAATTTTAACATATGAAACACTTATTTAATTTAACATATGAAATACTTATTTAGCTTTTAAGAAAGTTAATGTAAAATATCTCTTAATATCTCGAATAATTATGAGTGATATATAGTATATATATATTTTTTTTTAAAGAATAAACTTTATGTTACAAATTTTCTTTTAGATTAGGCAAATTTCGCATTGAAGCTTATCATTAACTCCCTTATAGTATTTGAGTACGCCGAGTTTCTTTCATTTCAATCATTTTATTGTTCTCTCGTAATTTTCCCCAATTATGTACAAAAATATAATGAGAATCATTACAGAGCTCGTAACATTTAGGTACATGATGCGATACGCTGTTTCATTGTCGTAGTTTCTCACTTTTGATAGATCTTTCGTGCGCTTAAAAACATGAATGTAAAATGTGGTAGCATATCATACGCGCAGATCGCTCGTATATGTACATACATGTGAAGGTATCGCACTTTATTAGCATTATGCCCTAAAAATCTATATAGATCTTTGCATTTTATATTTCGTTAACCGAACAATATATAAAGAATTATTTTAGAAAAAAACAAACAGCAAATACATAAGGTTTAACACTTCAAGAATAGTTTAAGACCGGTACTCATAGTCAACTTCTATACTTAAAACTGTCTTAAGTACAGTCTTGAGGTGACATAAGCCAATTAGAGGGCCGTATTAAAATCTTAAGACATTCTTTAAGACGGTTTTAAAATGAGAACGGATTATGAATATCGTTTCATATTTAAAAAGAAATACGACGTATATACGTTGTCTTATTTCATACAAATTTTCGGAATTGTTTCATACGAACGTTGCTGGAAATATAAGAAAACTGAGACATTAGTAATTACTACGTCGTGAATAAGATTTCCTCCTGATTTATGAAAGGTTGAAGCTATTGGAAAATTGCAGTTAGCTCAATCTGGTTTCTCGTTAGAAAAATATTGTGGTGAATACGTGAGAAAAAGTGATTCGCTTACTTAAGTTAATAAAGTACAAAGTACAAAATGTAGCAATAATATTCTAGGAAAAGTATTGCATTTTTGTTAAAAAAATCAAAAGTTTTTTTGGTCTCCTACAAAAGTTATATAAGTTTTTTTATAATCCGTTCATCAATTGTTCAAAGAGAGATGCAAGTCAAACTTTTTGTACAATTTTTCAACTATATAGTGTACCTGTTAAGCAATATGATATTTCACTGACATAGAATTCAGTCCTAATGAGATTTATTATTTTCGCTAAAAACTAAAAATTATCTATGAAAACACCCATAAAAAAGTTATAATTTACACTGCGTTGTGTGATATCTCGTCAAATTTTCTTTCTTCTTAAATGTATTAATTAGTAATGTTATACCACAATACCGCAATATCACAACTTAAACAAGACTAACAATAAGATAACATAACACAATACGTACACAAACTACTATCTAGAAGTTTAATTTTTTAACTAGTTAGGAAGTAACTTTACTTTTTATCGTATTGTATTGTACGTAAGATAAAAAAATTGCATAAAGCTCTTGAAACGCTTGAGAGAATTCGCTAAATATTTTGTCTTACAATTAGTTTAAGTTTCCGCTTTTAATTCATATGAAATTTCGTACATGCTCTTATTCAATTACGGCAGTTCTTCAGATTATGCGTGTGCGTTGTCATTCATATTTCGTTATAATGGAGACACGAGAATGTCCTCTATTATCCTTATTCTTAATCGAAGCGAAAAAGCGAAGCTTCGATAAATGAACAGTGAATGATTAAATTGAAAATGAAAAATCGCCGACTGAAATGTCAATTCCAAAATGCACTATAATAATTCAGAAACACAGGGAACGTGTTCATATATAATAGATAAATTAATTCTATATATAATAATCTAAGGAAATATACATAGTCTCGTCGTTTTAACATTTTTATGATTCAAATCTGGGCTTATCTTAGTTATATTTTAAATACACTTCTGAATTTAATCAAAAGTCATTGCATTTGAATAAAGCAAGATTGAAATGTGTTACAAATGCGAAACTCGTTGTAAGCATTAAAAAAATTGCGAACGATTTTCAGTGAATATATTCGTTTCTGATTGTTCTGCGAGCAATCAAATGTATGTATACTTTCATGAGGAAGCTCATTATGACGAACACGATGTTGAGATTATAATTCTCTCATTCTCGTTCGCTAGAGCTAGCTTATCCGCCTGTAAAAATAGCCGAGGTTGAATTTATTACAGTCGAGAGAAACATTTTATCAGAGATTTTATTATGGATCACCATAAATAATATATTCATAAAAATAGGAAGTGTGTACAAATATATTAATCTTATAGTGCGACTATTACGATCTCTAAACATTTGCCCTTCCCCTCAAATATAGTATTATTCACGTGTATGTATCATATACATATCTTGAGACACATTCGCACTCGTTCGACTGCGTGATCAAACTTACGGATCACGTGTAAGAGAGGCTCATTACTCACAAAAGTACTCGCTCCCTTCCTCAAAGCTTGATTCCACGACACTAGAGCGTGATTTTCGCGATACAAATGTCGTATGCCTTTTCTGATCGATTAAAGCGCTCATATTGCGTCGTGTACGATAATAACAAGCCGCAGTGCAATTTTATACATTGTCGTTCGCATTTGAAGATAAAGCAATCAAAGGGACGAACAAACTCTTTTCGGCAGCTTACTATAGACATCATCGTACCATTAGTAGTAGAATCAAGCCACGTGGTGAATTTTGTGTGTGTGTGCGTGTGTGTGTGTGTGTGTGTGTGCGTGCGTGCGTGCGTGCGTGCGTGCGTGCGCGCGCGCGCACGCATGAAAAGTCTATGGTATAACCGATGAGGTTGACATATTATTAATAATTCGTAAAATTTCTTTAAAATTATGAGCGACATAAAGTAAAAATTAATTATAAATAAGCGATAAAAATAGAAATTGTCAACATTAAATAAGTTATCAATAAGTTATTCTCGGCAATATAGGATAAAATATAAATAACATACATGTTATAAGTATAATAAATTTGGGAACTTATTATAAAATAAAAAGTTTATTTTTTAAATTAAAGTAAAACAAATATACAAGATAAATTTAAAATCATAAATTGAAATGTTTAAAAACTGATTAAATAATAAGATAGCATAATTATCTTGAGAAAAACTAAACAATTATTAGAAAAAACAAAAATACGAGACATTTTACTTATTAATGATAATTTTTACGAATTATTAGCTTATATTGCCAATATAATTATATAGCCAACTTTGTTGTACGATACTTTGGGCGAATTGATTTGTACATTGATTAATTTGTAAGAACACCGGAGTTTTGAACACAGTCGGGGCTAGAATGCGACGGAGATTGGGTTGTTCCAGCCTTTTGATAAATCTGACCTTAGTCGCTCTCTTGTTTTCGTTCTCTTTTTTTATTTAAGTTAACCACATAGTATCCAAAGATAGAACAACCTGCCCAGAGTCAGTAATGATGATAAGAGAGAGGGGGAGGGGAGGGAGTTTAGTTCTAGCAATGTGTCTCAACAGGAGATGCCTTGAAAAATTACGTACGACTAAGAAACATCCACACTCGTATTCAATACGTACACAAAAAAAAATTGATTGAAAAATTGACGATGAACATTTCTCGTCATGTTGTGTGCGCATTAATGTTACCCAGCTTATTTTCACATTCACGCATTTCGTCAAATGTGACCTCATTTTTAATTAGCGTTATCAAACTAGTCATAATTTAGAGATTTTATAAATCGCAGTAGTTTTCGTATAACACCAAACACGAAAATCACAAAAGTAGTCCTTTAGTTTTTTTCACTTCTAATGTTCTTATTAACGATTTCCAATAATATTACAATATTAATGTTCCATTTTCATATGGCAGATGTCATGAATCACTAATTTAAAGATTTATGATTACGCCATATCTTACAAAGACTCGAAAATGAAGATTCACAATATTTTTTTTCTCAGCGATTAGTTATATCGCATTTGGTTTTTCTTCTTTCTTTTTCTATTAGTTTTACCGTCGAACATCATAACAGCCCTGTCGTCGATGATACTATGTTAGTGAACACAACTACTGCTCTGCTAGCAACGCAGAATAACGAGATATCTCGCTTTATACGTGCCAATTTTTTCGTCCGAGAATGTTGTCTCGTTGTTCTCCATACATATGAATGTAATTTGGCTTTATATTCTCACGTATAATTTATGGACATGTTGCGAAATGATTTCTCACGATAGCATGATAATTATATGATAAGACGAGCAGTTGATCGGCACATAAAAAAAAAAGTTCGAGCTTCCCATATGTCCTAAGCGAGTTTTTTCTCCGTGACGTTATTATTAGCGACATAACCGTTGTTTGTGCCGTTGCTGTAACAGCTGTTGTACTCCTTGTTGTAGATTGTAGTGTACGAGGATACACCGTTGTGCGTCGTGCTATCGTTATCGTCCAAAACTGGCATGCAAGCTCCAGCGGAAGTACCGTTTTGCATCTTTTTCACAGAATTTTTTCTTGAGTCATCCGTATATTTCGTCTTGTAGAAATCCGAAAACAGCCCGAAGAATAGGATACCGTGCAAGCCGATCCAGATCATGAAACCTCGCGGATAGTTGCACTCGATGAAGAACAATTGAAATTGATGGAACATGATCATCACAAATTGTATCTGAAATCAAAGAATAAATTGTTAGATAAGTAATAATAAAAAAGCGATAATAAAAAAACTTTATAGCATACAAAATGTGCGAAGGATCGCTGTGACTCGCAATATATCGATGTATTTTAAAGGCTAGAGAAATCAGTAACAATACTGACAGATGGGTAGGATTATAAATGGGATTTTAAATTGAGAATTCGGTCAGCGATTCAGCTTACAATTCGCGCTTTATAAATTTTATTAATTTAATTAATTTAACTGGACATCAGAAATGATTGCTTTTATAATTACAGTTACCTACATATCTTTTACAAGTATAAATTTTTAATTACCTGAAATCGTTCTTTTTAGTCCCTCAATTTATTATTGCGTTCAAGAAGTACAAAATAACTATTACAATCATTATTATCTTTTAAAAGTGGAATGTATTTAAAAATAGTAAGTAATAGTAATATAAAATGCTCAATTCGGTTGACGAAATATAATGTGAATATAATGAATATACTATTTGCAAAGAGTATGATATCGTGTAAAATTGTATAATAGACAAATTCGTAATAACGCGAGATAACATCGATCTTACCATTTGCATGGTAGTGAGGTACTTCTTCCACCAGATGTATTTTTGGAATTGCGGTCCCATCGCGGCTACCATGTAATAGAAATACATCACGATGTGTACAAAGGTATTTAGAAGGGCAAAAAATGTGCTGTGGCCGCCTGGTGCAAATTTCACCCCCATCCATACAGAAAAGGGCATTACCCCGTGATGAATTACATGAAGCGTTGAAACGTGTTGGTTCTTTTTCCTTAGAATAAAGAACAGCTAAAAAAAAATTATGCAAATTTTTCAGTTATTCTCTTCACTTTTCTCAGTATTTCGATAATTTGTTTAAAGTATTACCCAATAAAGTATTTTATTAATTTTCTAAAAATATAATAAATGCTATTTTGATTTGAGTTTACAGAATTCTATGTCTTTATAAAATAATATATATATTTATAGATATAAAACATTCATGAATAACGGGAATGTGTGACGATACTTTGTAATAATGTGGGGGGGGGAGAGAGAGAGAGAGAGAGAGAGAGATGTATAATAAAAAAACGGTGCTAGCTACTTTTTTCGACGGGTTATTCAAAGACTCTAATGCCTGTTTCCATCAATGCAGATTAACTTTAATCTCGGTTTAACTTACTATTAATCTTTTTCTAATTTTTAGAATTAGAAAAAGATGAAAAGCAAATTGAACCGAGATTAAAATTAATCTGCATTGGAGAAAATGGGCATTAGAGACAAAGATTTCAAATTCAAAGATACTTGTCAAAATTTATGTTGAAATTATAAATGAATTTATCGAATGGAACTTTTGTATTTTAACATCTGTTTTAGTCTACGCCACTCGACAAGTTAAGTGAAAATCGATACTCACCGTATCAAAGAACTCAGTAAATTTGCTAAAATAGTACCACCAGCAGGTTCTTGCCATTCTGAGGCCCATTGGGCTGGACGAATAATCCACCGGTTGGCAATGGATACTATAACCTTTCGCCCAACCGCTCATAAGATACTGAAACAATAATGTTTAAACCATTTAATTACAATGCTTACATACATTTTATTAAAGTTGTAACTATAACCAAGTCTTTCATAGTGAGTTCTTGACATGATCATTAGATGTAGTATGTTATGCAAGAGGATATCCTGGAGAAATAACAATTATAATAACACTTAAAATTACGATTAAAATCATTTTTCACTTTGCTAACAAATTATGCAACAAAGAAACTAATAAAATGACATAAAAATTCTTATTTTTTAAATTGTTTTAATTTTTACATAATATATATAAAATTAAAAAAATCATATTCCGTTCTTCTAAAATGGCACACAGAATTTATATATGACTTATTTAATTTATATAAGCAATATTTACAAATTTATGCAATATTAAAATTTTTGTATGAATATTAAAATTGTGAAATTTTTTAATCAAGTGAAAGCTGGGAAAGTTTTTCGAGTGATTTTTTGTCATTCAAATTGTGTATATTTCAACATTTTTTAAAATTGTATAACATTTAAGAATGTACAAAAGACTGAAACACGGACGAGTATGTACATATTTCTGCTAGATGAATGTATATAATTTTTAAATTAGCAGTTTGTTTCGTTGAATTTTATTGAATTTAAGAATAAATTCGTGTGGTTGAAAGGCGTCGGGTGTACACGAGATCGTTGTAAGCGTGGAATTAATTCGCTAAATGGCTTCAATTATACTCAGAAGTTGAAATACCGTTATAATCTGTTACGCATCGAAAAGACGATCATTATGTTTGCGGAGTAAATTAATTTTACACGCCCTACTCTCTCATTTACAATTATCTTTAGCCTTTTTGAATTACGTAATTCAAACGTGGATTGTAATCCTTTTTAACCGTGATTTAAATGTGAGATCGAATAAATTAAATAATCATAATATACAGAATGTTTGAAAAAAAATAAAATAATTGCACACAAATATCAAGATTCCTTTAATAACTATATTTATATAACTATATTGTATTTTTGTATGTTCTACTTATGTACTTTTTTTATCTATCAGCAATTCAAAATTAATAATATAAGTATACTTACAAGCTAAAAATTACATTTAACATGCATTAAACAGTATATAATACAAGTATACTGCATAAGTGATAAATTAAATACACAATAAACGAAAGATATATGTTTACATAAATAAATATTTTTTAATTTATGTAAACGTTTCGACCATTGTTTATTTTGGTTTTCTTCAGTACAAATTATAGACAATAAAATATAATCATAATTAAAAAATTGTAAAATTGTTTATATTTGCAAATACATATATTCGTTACCAATATGTGTAACATCATTGTTGTGATAATAGGTCACTTTGATAAAATATTAAAATTGATTGACTGAAACCATAGTTTCTGCTAATTGAAATTTTTAAACAAGACTTTAATTAAAAACGTTTATTTTACTTTAATATTATCATTAATCTTTAAACGTAATAAATTTCATTAACTTGTAATAATTTATTAACTTTTTCATGCTAAATGTTATTTAGAAAAGAAAAATCGTAATGATTAAAAAGGTTATCAATTAATTGTCTTTTTTTTATTGGTTTCTTTTTCTATATCTAATTTATTAATAGAGTGAAGTGCGATTTGTTTGTAATTTATAATTTTTTAATATAGTATTCTCTCGTAGCATGTATAATGATTATGTATAACCAAGTTATGCTTATCGTTGCACACGATTACAATTGACATTAAATGATAATCTTCGCGAAGTTATAAGTTTTTTTTATCGGTGCAATTAGTACCTTGTTATTCATCGATCGTTGCATATTGCTGCAAAAAAATACTGTAAAAATACGTAAAAGAAGCGTTTAAAGATTAATGATAGCTATTAATTTGGCACTGTCAAATATATAAATAATAATACAGAGAAAAAATAATATAGACAAGAAATGCAATATTAATGTTTAAGCATCACTCGCGATGCAAAAATTAATCATATGTAAATAGTTTATTCATCCTGATAAAACCTAATGATATAGAAATTTATACATGCATAATATCCTTTCTATATATCTAATAAAGCCAATAAAGGTCACGCATACAAATTTAACAGTTTAACGTCATTCAAATTTCTGAATACTCTTCATTGTATGCAAAATTGCTTACATATACAAAATGTCTCAAGAAAAACTTTAAGGCTAAGTGAAGGTTAATAAAAACTAATTTTATGTGTAAAATTTTCAAGATCAATTCAAAGTTAATAAGAATTCTAATTGTACGTCTAAATAAAGTTATCGTCATATCCATACAAAAGAACTTCAATTAATTAAGTAAATTAATGCCATAAATACGTATATTTAAAAGCCAAATTTCACTTAAATTCAATAAAATTCTATATATTAAAATTAAAAAAAAAATTGTTACTATTCGATAGATCTACGAACATCATAAATGAAATATGGAATTTATTAGCATAATCGAGTCGCGTATCAAAACGAATGAAGAAGTGATTTAACGGTAACTTTCTTGAAATGATAAATATATTTAATACTTATAAGCTTTTGTTTAGAACAATTAATTTTATAATGCATGAAGAAACTTCGTTTATAATCATTTACATCATCGTTTACGAATCGCTGATTCATATTTTAAATTATGATCATAAATGTCTATAATCGTGCCATAATGTAATGAATTTTACAAAAATTTAAATATTAGGAAAAATATTTCGATAAATTTAAATTAAAAGATTGTGTGAGAGTTTAAAGGGCAATTTATAAGTTATATAAAAGATCATTTGATTGAAAATTCAAGATATATGTAAAATAAATCATTATATCAATTTACACGAAGTAAAGAATTATATAAAATTGACAAAAAAAAAAGTATAAATGCTTTTTTCGTATTATTTCGAGATTTTTACTAAATATGAAATACAAAAAAAAAGCTTTGTCCAGTATTAATAATTTTCAAAAAATATTCTTAAAAAAAGCCAAGAAAACATAAATTTATAAATGTATTATAATGTAAATAATTCTGATAAAAATAATATTATAGAATCCATTTTACGCAGATTTCTCTTTCTACCTTTTTTAAATTTATGTAGATGTGCATTTGTACCGTTTCGTTATTTATTTATACATAAGTATACATACAGTCTTGACCAAAAGTATTAAGCAGCTATATTTTTCTTATTTAGCTGGAATTCTTTTATCTTGATTACTAGCATTATATTGTACATGGTAAAAATTATGATAATTAAAAAAGACTTATCCAATATGGCGGACGGAAAAGATGCGAAAATCTTAAAAGTTTTCCGATTTCGGCGAAATTTGGATTAAAGGAGCTTACGCGGACGCTGATTTCAAATCTGTGATCAAAATTAGGAAATTCCAAATGGTTAATCCAAAATGGCGGACGAAAGTGTTTCGAAATACATAAAAATTTTAAATTTCAGCGAAATTAGGTAAATGGGGGTTACCGCGAACGCTGATTTTGATTCCGTGTTCCAAATTTTTAAATTCAATATGGCAGACGGAAATGTTGCGGAAATCAATAAGATTTTCCGAATATGACGAATTTAATAAGACGCAAAGAAATGTAATTATAATTTAAAGCTTAATCGACTATGCTTTGGTGGAAATTTTGTAACAGAAAATTATATGGTCGTTCAAAAAAAAAAGAATCGCGCGCGTAGCGCTCTGTGAAGTTGGCACCCCTAAATGCGAATATTGGTAATATCATTATTGCATTCGTTTGTCCACCCGTTATTTTCTTTGGTCCACCCCGCAAAAAGAGGTTATACAAAAAAAAAAATTGTAACATCCCCAAGTGATAATTTTTCATAATTATGTACGGGTATCGTTTGTCCACTTTACAGAGCTGCTTTGTGAAGTTGGCATCTTAAATGCGAATATTGGTAAAATCATTATTACATTCGTTTGTCCACTGTTTGTCCACCCGTTATTTTCATTTGTCCACCCTCCAAAAAAAAGTTATGCATAAAAAAAAATTGTAACACCATCAAGTGATTATTTTACATTACTACTAAAAATATAATAAAAATAGGGTGGACAAATGAAAATAATGGGTGGACAATCACGTGCGCGTTGTGGACAAACGATACCCGTACATAATTATGAAAAATTATCACTTGGGGATGTTACAATGTTTTTTTGTGTATAACCTTTTTTTGCGGGGTGGATCAAAGAAAATAACGGGTGGACAAACGAATGCAATAATGATTTTACCAATATTCGCATTTAGGGGTGCCAACTTCATAAAGCAGCTCTGTAAAGTTGGAATCTGTAAATGCGAATATTGGTAATATCATTATTACATTCGTTTGTCCACTGTTTGTCCACGTTTGTCCACCCGTTATTTTCATTTGTCCACCCTATGCATATTATATTTTTCGTAATAGTGTAAAATAATCACTTGGGGGTGTTACAATTTTTTTTGTGTATAACTTTTTCTTGGAGGGTGGACCAATGAAAATAACGGGTGGACAAACGTGGACAAACAGTGGACAAACGAATGTAATAATAATATTACCAATATTCGCATTTACAGATTCCAACTTTACAGAGCTGCTTTGTGAAGTTGGCACCTTAAATGCAAATATTGGTAAAATCATTATTACATTCGTTTGTCCACTGTTTGTCCATCCGTTATTTTCATTGGTCCATCCTCCAAAAAAAAGTTATGCACAAAAAAAAATTGTAACACCCCCAAGTGATTATTTTACACTATTACGAAAAATATAATAAACATAGGGTGGACAAACGAAAATAATGGGTGGACAAACAGTGGACAAACGAATGCAATAATGATTTTACCAATATTCGCATTTAAGGTGCCAACTTCACAAAGCAGCTCTGTAAAGTTGGAATCTGTAAATGCGAATATTGGTAAAATCATTATTGCATTCGTTTGTCCACTGTTTGTCCACGTTTGTCCACCCTATGCTTATTATATTTTTCGTAATAGTGTAAAATAATCACTTCGGGTCTGTACAGATATTATATAAAAGTATAAGCACTTAAAAATTCTTATAAATCTTACGAGAATATGTTATTATAATCTTACGATTCTGCTTAGAATTTAGGCTTTATATATAGAGGTAGAAAAAAATTAATACTGTAAAAAAGATATTTATTTGCTTCAGAAGAATAATTTATTTCGAAATTTCACCTCAAAATGCTTTTAGCAATTATCATAAATGGACTCAGTAAAGTATTTCTTTCGGTAAGATTATCTTAACTCTTGGGAGACCTCGATTTCCCTCGAAATTATTCCACGGAACCGCATACTGTTGCCTGCTCGAGTCAACAGTAGTTATTGACCACGTCGAAACAAAAGGCGGAGAAATAATAGAAGGCAATTCTCCGTCGATCGTCGCGCGGGAAGACAATCGCGGTCAAATAGCTGTGATTACGAATTTATAGAAGTAATCTTGTCGATCTCCGCAAATGACGATTGTAGATCGTAAATTTTGACGAAAACTAGTACTGTTACTCCACCAATGTTTACTAATGGAAATAAAATGAATTTACTTGGATGTAAACAAATTTGAGATATTTAATTTCTATCTTCAAAATTTTATTTAAATAATTTCGTCTATTAAGAATATTTTATTTAAATAATTTCGTCTATTAGGAATTTATAGCATAAGTCCTATAATATTTGTGTGTGATTTCGATCTTATTATAATAGAACACGTATATATGTATGTGTGTGTGAAGAGTTCTATTTAGAAATTTCGCTGCCATTTGTAGTTATGTGTAGATAAATATGTGTTAATTAATTCTCTCAAGAGTGACAGTAAATTCAACGTTATAATATTTAAGAAAAATGAACCTCGTAAAATATCCACATGGAGAAGAGAGTCTGTAGGAAATTATACGTAATAAGGACTCCCCGAAGATCAAAAGGCTTTCTGTTTTCCATTAGTTTCGGTCCCAGAACCTTGCTAAAGTAAGCGTATGACAAACATATCGCCAAGGTCGGAAAAGGGCTGCTCATCATTATCCAATCATTTACCCTGGAATCTGGGAACAGAAAGAATAAAATATTAAATAACATATTAAACGTTAATAAAACAAGAGACAAGCACAGATAAAAATGTAGATATAATGAAGATAGACTGCACATATAAATCAAAATTATGATTATTGTTACAGAAAGTGAGGTAGGCTTGAATCTTGAATATCGTTATCGCTTTCTTCTTCTTCTCTCTCTCTCTCCCTTTCTAAATTATCGAGTTAAAGAGAGATGAAATATAAGAAAGATGCTAATATGTTTATCATGAAAATGGAAAATTCAAGCCATATTCAAAAAAGGATACTCAAAAATTTAAGCCTTTTTATCTAATAATAATTTCAACATACATAAAGTGTATGCAACTTTAGGTAGATTTTCGAATCGCCTCCGCCTTCCGCTGTCCCCATCACCTCATCGCGCGCGGTCTAAATGCCGCACGATCGGCACGATGCTCGAGCGACATTTGGACCGCGCGCGGTGAGGTGAGGGGGACAGCGGAAGGCGGAGGCAATTCGAAAATCGGCTGAAAGTTATATACACTTTATGTACGTTAACTTTGTACTGGCACCTTTAATTAACAATATATCAGTTACTTTTCATGGCTTATACTTTATGTATGTTCACTTTGAACTGGCACCTTTAATTAATAATATATCAGTTACTTTTCGCGTGGTAATATATTGTCATTATTATTAGATAAAAAGGTTTAAACTTTTGAGTATCCTTTTTTGAATATGACTTGAACTTTTCATTTTATGATATGATTTTTTTCGGATATCATTTACTTTTTAGAATACAAATATATCACAAATATATAAAAAAATGATTTAAAAATATTATATAACGAAAGAGAGTGAAATACGGTGAAAGAGAGGTGGTGGGAGGAGGGGGTGCGGTGGGTCGAAGATGATGAAGGTGTGAGTGAAAGGTGAGAGGGGATGTTAGAAAGTTTTAATACGGCCTTGAATACGGACAGAGAAGAATTGAGAAGGAGAAGGAGGAGAAGGAGAAGAAGGAGACATTTCTTAATTTTTCATTAAAATCACCACTTTTCGACTGCTTGTATCTCCAGAACGGCTTGACCGATTTAAAATTTTTCTGGCTCAAATTACTCGTTATTAAAAAGGCGATGCCGCTTTTCAGGACATATAGATAACGTTCGATTTAAAATTTTATATATTTTAGTAGTTATGCACCACCTCAAAATGAACTTTGGTGGCTCGGGATAAGAGACTTTGTAGTCTTTCAGTTCTTGAACATGGCTGGAGACACTACCGCCGCGTCTCCTGATTTTTTTTTCTAATCTAAGATCAGAGAATGCGCAATTTACACTGATAGAAATGTTTTGGTACGTACAACTATTTATTTCGTTAATATGTGACTATCAAAACCTTTCTTATTTTTTCTTACTTTTAAAAAATTGTATTTTAATATATCTAATAGTCATATATTAACAAAATAAACGATTATACGTATATTATATTTTTTTGTACATATTATTCTTTACAAATATTTCTGTCAATATATCAGTCAATGTATTACGTTTATGGATGAAAAGAAGTCGCGGTAGATACATTCGTCGTGAAACAATTTAAAAAAGAAGGTAAACATTTTGGGGAGAAAGAGTAAAGTAAAGCGAAATTCTGATCGCGCAGAGTATGTATATTGATGTTTCGCAAAGTATATCATATGTACATTGGAAAGTGGAGCGCGCAATAACAATTTAAAAGTCGTCTCCATATTATGCAATATCTCACGCGACGCGCACTTGTAACGGGGTCGAAATTCGTAACTGGCGATAGGAAGTACCGTTGCGGACAGGAATTTGTTACACCATTGCCACGACAATGTCGGATATGCCGATGTTGTAATATACCGGTATTGGCTATAAAATAAACTTATAGCAGAATGTCAGATCAAACGTCATTGAAGTTTCGCATTTTTTAAAAATCTATTAATTATTAATTATTTTAACATAAACAAAGAAGAGAGCTATATTAACTGTTTATTGATTTTTAAGTGAGAAGATGAGACGACTATAACAGCACAGATATAGTTTTCTTTGATACTTTGTTCTGGAAAAGGAAAAATAACCCACACTGTTGAGTTCATAATAATGTCAAATTCAAGGGCAAATTAGACTTATTTTGAGTTTAAAATCATTTCTATAGATCGTCACTACATGTTCCTATTCAATATGTCATTAATTTAACTAAAATAATGCAGTTAATAATCTAACTTAATTGTAAGTGCATATTATTATTTACTAAGTACGACTATAATATGAATGTTGCTTACTTTGAAATTAACCACAGAAATGAATTGACAAAGTGATTTATATTTTGACATAGAAAAATAACAAAAAGATGTTATTAACTCAAGGTATTGAGTTACCATTGCTTTTTGATATCTACCAATGTAGATGTCCATAAGTTTGCAAGTTCAATATTTTATATTCTCTTCTATCAATTTTAACCTATATAGAAGTATAACTGATGTATATGATTCAGTTTAGCTTTACCTGCTCAGAAAAGATAATCTGCGAATTGTAAAATAGCATGTATATAAATTAGATATTTATTTTGAATGTTTCGGAATTAGAAGATTTTGAAATACACGCATAAAAGAGGATTATTATACAAGGTTGTCAAATTTTTCACCCTAAAATTCTATCATTTTTCCCTGATTTCCAGACAAAATTTCATGATTTTCTCTGACTTAATATTTACAAATTTTTTTATTTTCGTCCTGGTTTAGAAACAGTTAAATATATTTTGTCGAGAAATTATTTTAACATAGCAATGTGAATTATTATTAATATTGTTGCAGATACTGCTTACATTTTTAATTATTAAATTAGTTATATAGTATTCTAAAATTGCGTACGTTGTATAAAATTTTCTGACTTTTCTCCGGTTTCTTCGATTTTGAATTTTGTGGCAATTCTGTATTATCCACGATGATTTTCAAGCAACAATATGTTGCGATCTTTCAAGCACCCTAGAAAGCGCCATCACCATTTTTCTATCCACCCTCAACGAGGAGGAAGCAGAAAAAGGCGCGAATGAGTGAACAGTCGCCTTCCACTAAATTACCTTCGTACTCGCGCGACTTAACGGATACCTATATGCGAGACCGATACACGGAACGATTTTTTTCTTTCTCTCTCTTTTCTCCCTCTTCCTCTGCTTTTTTCAACATTCTCAGCGAAACGCTTGGGCTCTTAGTCAAGACACAATTGACCGACAACTCGATTACAAGCTGACGATGCGACACAGCTTGTCATCAATATTATATGCTTCGGTTTTAGCACGTTGTTATTAATTAGCATGCCAATTTGATCGTTTAGTTTATGGTTACGAAAAACCGTTGAAAATATCCAGTGGACCTTACGTAAAGGTATACACACATCAATATTGCTGCAGAAAAGTTGGTACACAACAGAAGGTCTGTTATAATCGATGAGAGAATAAAAAAGCAACGCGAGAACGATGTCCCAATAACAAGCGTATGCCGGTTAGTATCGGAAAGGAAAGTAGGTGCAAGAGCAGGCGAGTTACGAGGCACGCAACTGTAATGACAAAGCGAAGCCGGCTAGGCGACGGTGAATATTGCATCAAATTTCGTCTATTCGTGCACTCGGTCGTTACGTAACATCTTTTGCGAAGACTTTGACGAAATCAACAATGCGGTAAAAGGGCGGGCATTGTAATGATCGAGCAGATGGCAGGCGCCTCCGCGTCTATACGGCCTACATGATTAGCGAAAAATACGAGTCCGTTACCGATTATCGATTGCCGACGTCGCTTCGTCGAAACTACATCTGATTTTTGGTAGGTACTTTCGAAATCTCTTTTCCGTCTCTCCGCATTAAAGGGAAGAAAAAAGGAAGAAAAAATCGATCGCCACACTAGCGGATTGCTTGCTTTCATCTAAAGTCACTAGATCTATAAAGTATCGCAATTGATCTCAGAAATGTTGCGTCAAAATGGCTAAAGTGCATATAGTACACGATTTGAAGTACACCAACGTATGAAGTACACATCGGGTGAATTGGGTGCACTTGTGCACCTTTACCCGGGCCGAATAATATCTTAAAAATGCTCAAGCTCATGCGGTGATCACACGTGTGACGTGTACTTTCGTGTTCTTGTGTACAGTTCTAAACTGTACTTACACGTATCCTTCGTGCATTTTTTTATGCACAAAACTTCTCTACAACAAATAAATCCATATTAAACTAAAGAACACATAAATTAAGCATTCCTACATATTCTTTTGTCATAAATAAACTAATTACAATTCAACAACATTAATTTACATACTCGACGGCTTCATTTTCACAAATAAAGTACGTATATATACAAATAAATAATGTAAATTTGAAATGACCGCGAGAGTTTGCGGTATTTTATAAATCTAGTGACTTTTATACTTTCATCGATTTCAAGACGCCGCGCCGCGGCGAAACGTCAGACGACACTGTGCAATTTTCTTGCTCTCGTCACGCCCCAATTAAAGATAACGCTGATCTTACCCCGTCAACGCCATATCGACGCCACAGACGTCCATTATTTACGTTAGCTCTCTCGTTCTCTGGAATAGACGTATACAGAATGCCCCGTAATTGCCGGCACGTGTTCGTTGCGAGATTCATCTTTTAATTATCTTTATACACAGTTCTGTTTTAATCACGTTAATAAATATTATAATTAAAACGACTTTCAATAAGTTATACCTTTCGTTTATTCGATTTCCTTGCTATATAGTAAAAAATATTTTGTATTTGTGTTAGAAACGTCACTCATGATTTTGTGAAAATTTTCTGTTGAATTTTTAATATATTTGAGTGTTAATTTAACATAATGTCATTACGTTATTTATAAATATCTTATATTTAATTGATATTCAATACCTTTTAGTGTCAAATAATAACATAATTTATAAGTAAACGTAAAAAAATAATGTGTTTTAAATTCTATGAATGAATAAAGTATAAATTTAACATATCATAATTGTTAATTTTATTGAAAAAATATGCTTCCATAGTTTGCTCATAAACCATGTCTTTTAACCATAATTTCGGTTCAACTCTTTGTCTAGTTCTAAAAATAAGAAAAAATGAGTAAGTCAAACTAATTGTAAGATTAAATTTAATCTATTAGTGTAAACAAGCATTACATTTCTTGCATTGTCATCAACGATTAAGCGTTTTACGTAATTCTGATTCAATAAAATATTTTCAGATCTGCATCTAAATTTTTAGATATTTCAGCAAAACTATTCTTTCTACATACGTATTTTTACTTTCTGATCTCTTTCATCTTTAATTAACTTTCGAGAAAGTTAAACGAATATTTGAAATAATCGAGAATGTAAATTTTGCACAAACACATCTCATCAATCCTGTATCTATTTATATCTATGAACCTTCTCTAATCAGTTAATTTGAATAAATCTTCCCGTTCTAAAAGCGTTCTAACTAACAGCTCTCAAGTTACACAATTAAAAATAGATTTCTTCAGAATTAAACTTCAAAGTAGCGAACGGATAAGATCTTATCACAAGTAGTGAGCTCGTTTTCGCTCTCGTATTGCTACGCGGATATCGCAAAAGATATCGGAACAGGAACCAAGGCTGAATGACTTGTCAGACTCGTATGGAAAACGGGGGGTCAAGGATTCCGGACGGTTCTCGGAGAAATTAGAAACGCGAACGCTTGCCGGCGTTACGACACGATATTGACTCGCGCCATGCCGGAAGATTCTGAAGAGGGGAAGGAGGGTTTCTCGTCGCTGCTCCATGAAAATACGCGCGGTAAACAGACTCTCTGGAAATCGTTGAAATTTCGGTTGTAATACTCGCGGGATTTCTGGCAAAAAAATCCATCGTTCTTACGATCTCTTAAATAAATTTGCACAACTTCTCTTTTATGGTCCACTCGAGCGGCAAAAATATCGGGTGCTAGATGCGATCTCCTTCTTTTTCATCTGTCAACATTATGTCATTTAATTGAACGTCCAATACTGGGCCATTTAATGGCGGGCCGCGTTACGTAAATGTCCTCTACTTCATCTTCTCTATTAGCATATTTGCGAAATTACTGGTATTACACAATACCGGTAAAGTAAGGAGAGATTTCACGGTGCGCGTATTACATTAATTCGTGAATACGTGGCTTATTAACACGATGATGTCAATATGGATTATTAAGAGATATTTCTAAATCTCATGAATTTATCAAAAACATAGTAAACAATTTTTTAACGCCATTCGTTTCTATACTTAAAAGGCTTTTAGTATGCACGTTTTTGTGCCGAGATTAATGAATAATTATCGCGATTGTTGTGAAGAAATATAAGACGAATTGTTAGTTTGAGAACTCTATGAACGATCGTTAAAAATTTCTTTATTTGCGTTAATTCATGTTCGTCAATATTTTTCCGAACATATCAATCATGACGCTGTGATGATCCTTCTTTCTTAATAATTTAGTAGCACACCGTGCGAAATCTTTTCAGAGAGAAAAGGCTGTGAATATTCCCTGGAGATTTGAATGTGACTATAGATATCTTTATATTGTATAATCGAATGTGTTGCGTGATGCGAACATTACACTTTATTTAAGAACAAATTAACTATAGATTTAATTATTATCACATTGCCACATTTCGCATCATAAACATTTAACGTATTATCTTAAATTTTTAAGACTGTATCAAATGTCACAGCACAAAAAAAAGTAATTGGAAATTTATACTTTATAAAAATAAATGCTATGTGCATATAAAACAGTTTAATAAAAGATCATATTTACATTTAATAATATAATTTTATACTTTAAATAAAAATTTGTCTATTTTAATTATTTATTAAAAATATGTTCTTCTACTTCTTATTGAAATAATTTTTGATCCAGATCTAAATCGCCAATCTCTTTGTATTACTTTAAATTTGTATTATATTTATGTAATATATACATTTCAAATGTATATCTGTAATTTTTTCATTTTATTAAAAAAATATATTCTTAAATGATAAGCAAAAGAATCTATTTTTATGGTTATGTGACTGTAATTTTCGATCTTTATTACGTAATATCTCATTTTGGAGTAATGACAGCGAGTTAGTTTTCGAAACGACTTTTGGAATGATAACATATGCTTGTAATATTTTATTTCGATAAAAAAGAATTGATATTTTACTCTTTCCATCCATTTTTTGTTAGCCTTTACAAATTTATTTAAAAAAAAATGCTAATGAGAAGCGCTTAAGTAAACAAGTATTTTATTAAAAATATTCTATTAAAATTCTATTTCGTGCGTATTACGTGTAGGCTAAAAAGTTAATTTGGTTTTATGTTTATGCGTTTTACAATTTCCGATTATTTAATTTTTAAATTAATGACATTGAGAGTGACTTATTGTTGCAAGATCGAAATGTTTGTTGTTATATATTAAATTTTATTTCGTAGATATATATTAAATATTTATTAATAAAATGTCTAGCACAGTTTATTAGTCATTGATTTATTATTTATGAATTTTATAGAAAAAGTCATATATTATAATTATATATGTAGAATAGTTTAAAAATGCAGAAAAATTGAGATGTGGGAGTTAAAATATGTTAGAATATTATTAAAACATATTGTACTTACCGGACTGATTGTCCATGAGGTCCCTATAACTATGCACCAGATTTGTCACTGCGCTCGTCATCTTGAATAGAATCTGAAAGTAAAATATCAATATATAGTAAGAATTATTTTTTACTTGTACTTTCTGTACAAGTACTGATTGTGTGAGTATTTTTAATAGAATGAGAAAGCCATTGTATACTGGTACTGAAACAGTGTAATATGGTGAGATTAATAATACATTTAAAAAACGAATTGTAACAAATCTTACACATTTAGAAAATTTAACATACTTTACATGTCCTAAGCACGCACGCACGCACGCCTATATATAAAAATATTAACATATAAATAAATAATAAAAATGTAACAATAACAATTGAAAAGAAAATTGGAAAAATTTTTTTCGGTAAAATTAATATTTATATTGTATGTTTAAAAGTTTTAGTGTGTTACACACTATGTGTGTTCAAGGAAGAGCTATAAGATTTTAAAATAGATCCCTATACTAAAGTTAAGTATACTAAAGTATACTTGAAATCCCTAAAAAAAAATGCAAAACATAAATTACATATAATTTTTGGATACATAATTAACGACAATAGACTTTAATCCTTTGAACCTCATTTGAGATCTTTCTGTTATAAACTGTTCGCGCGATTTTTTTTTATGAAACTTGACCTATATGATAATTTGATGCTTTGTTCGAATTAAGGTCAAAAGTAAAAATTTCAAAATTGTGAAAAAAAAAAATTCAAGAGATAACAAACAACATTTTTTTAAAATAATTCGATTATTATTAAAACTTTATTTTAAGGGGTTTTTAATTGTAAAGCAACATCAAGTTTCCAGTTTTGTTTCATTTCAATTAAGTTCATCAGTATTATGTAAACTAAATTTTCAAACTGACTTTTAATTCTGATTGTGAACATTAGCTCTAACGGAGATACACTTTTGAAATTCGATATTTTCAGGTTTCATTCGAAACCAATAATCTCCTAAAATATGAGTTTCACAATAATCAAATTTCTTTTTTAATTTAAATTTTTGAATTCTGAGAACTGAATTGAACGATTCCGAAAATCTCTAGAAAGCAAGATCTTTTATAAGTTACTTTGTTAGAAAGTTTATGTCCTCAAAAGATTAATATATTTTAAATTAATTATTTTGAAATAATTACCATAATGTAATTAAAATTATATATTATAAAATATCATGTCGACGATATTTTAGAAATCGTGTGAGAATACGTGGTATGTCAGGAATGTAAATAATTGTAACAATTCTTATTGAATACACTGTACTTTTCTTTGTTTAATGAAGACTGTTTTCTAGGATACAATGACTTTGAGAACGAGCGTTGAAAGAGTATGTAATATTTAAAAGAGAGTGTCAGTTGTTCTCTGCAAATAAGTTCTTTTGCTTAAAATTGCGGCAGAAATCAAGTTAATACAATAATAAAAATACAGTATACAGTGTACAAATCGAAACTATAATCTTGAAAAAAAATTATTACTTTTTTCTTTAAACTGTGTCTTGTGTATCAATTATTTTAGCTCAATTTTGTTTCAAGTGCGTTTTTTTTTAATACGATTACTCCTCCCAGTACCGATTTTCTGTGTCAAATATCGTGGTACATTGTCTGTTAGTGGGTCAAAGTAACGGTCACTCGTAGAATGTTCGAGTTAACATTTCGTCAAATCTTTTCATTGAACGACGACCGCGATGACGTTGCCATTGACACACTAAGCTCTTAGTGTAAGGAAGGTAGGCGTAGTCGAGCGCGACCGACTATATATGTGGGCGTATTTATGCGCTCGATCGTGAATACGAATCTACGTACATACAGTTACGTAGCTAGTTAATTCATATTTGATAAGTGCACTTAATGCATGCGAATCAGGCATGATGATTGTTAAAGCGGTGTAAAGACGGCGCCGAGTTGATTTTTCGCGTTGTGCAGCTATGAATAAGAATTATTCTTGTACGTCAAAGTATACGATCGATATGGTCATTAGATACGTTTATTATCTGTCAGTATGCTTTTACTGGAAATGTTAAGGAATTTGTTTATTGTGTAACGTTTTAGGATTAGATTGATTGTGTAACGCATCATGACGTGTATAGATCCTTGTCATTAAAAGTATTATGCGAATGTTTTCAATGACAAGGTATCCAATTAATTTTCCCGTAGCAATGGCTTTGTTAGAAGTCATCTTTCATGTCAACTCTTTGAATATCTAAGATATTCAATATATCCGAATAATTCATTATATCAATATTATTATATTACTAATTGCATTATATATTACATATATTAATTATATTACATAATTCCTAATGTACAATATAAACATATTAATTTATATATATATATATATATATATATTATATAAAGTGACATATAATAGAGTATGTTAAGTTAGCACCCCAACTATAGTACTCAGGAGTTCTGATTAGAGTTTCCACTTCCTTTTGACAAGACGAAGAGTTCCCTATAGTTAATAACAGGAGTTCCGCTCAATAAACATTTTTTTTACATATTTTAAAAATGGGGTGCTAACTTTTTATCGAATTTCGAGGTGGAATAGTTCTGAGCGGCTTAATAGCTTCAATTTGTGATTGCCTAGAGTTCCTGATATGTAACAAAAATTTCAAATATTAAAAAAAAAATTAAAAATTTTTGAAAAATTAATTTTTATATACAATAGTTCTAATGATAATTTCTGCTTCTTTTTGACGATACGAAGAGTTCTCTATGATTTTTAATGACATATGCGCTTAATAATAATTTTTTAATCATTTTTAAAAAATGGGGGGCTAACTTTTTAACGAAATTCAAGGTCGCATAGTTCTGATCAGTTTAACAGAAGTATTTTGTGAATACCTACAGTTCTCGATACATAAAAAACATTTTTGAAGAATAATAAAGTTTAAAAAAAATAGAAATCTTTAAAAATTTTTTTGAGAGTACCGAGTAGTTCTGAGTTGCGTTTCTTATAGTACTCGACAAGTTCTATCAAGAACTGTAAGGTGGGAAAGCGATTGGATCAACGGTTTGCAAGATACAGCGACATTTGTCAGAAGATCAACAATTTTTATAGAGTATCTCTCGGAAACCGTTGGTCCAATCGCTTTGAGCCCTGATACTTTTCGACAGAACTCGCCGAGAACTGTTCAGAATTCCGATCAGAACTACTTGGTACTCCCAAAAAATTTTGACTTCAAATTTTTTTCTAAGTCCCATGCCGAAAAATTTTTTATAATATTACCATAATATTATTATTATTTGTGATTTGGCTCTTATTGATCTCCTTTCTTTTTATATCGTTGAAATTTTATATCGAAGAGCTTTTTATATTTTGTAGCATCTATCATCATTGAATGGTTAAAAGAGATAATGTCGATAGCGCAATAAAGCATTTGCCGGTACAAATTAGGAATTAGCCGAAGTTTATCGAGTCGAGTAAATTTCTCTCGCGCTCTTTCGACGTGGCGTAGCTTCTCCGGTCGATTACGCGTATTACATAAACAGACAGGTGAGTAGACATCACTGGCGGGCTTCTTCAAAATAAAAAGGAAAAAGAGAAAAAGAGGAGACGGAAAAGTGACATGAGAGAGACCACCTTCGGTATCGCAAAGTGTGCCGCGAGAAAGTTACTATACACGATTACGACGCGTTAAAAATAATTGCACCAAAGTTAACTAGCATAAAGGAGGGCACAGGAGGAACATATATCGTATTGGATAAATATTTCGCATGAATTCTGCCTTACAAGGAAATCACACGGAGTGTTAAATTCGGATTTTTATGAAACTTTGTATATAAAAGATAAATTTGAAAATATTAGTTGCGGCAGAAAAACGGTTTTAAAGGGTGAAAAATCTTTTACTTCACTTTTTTTTGGTCTTATCTCAAAAACTGTTCAAGATATCAAAAAGTGTTATATACAAAAGTGTTACAACAAATTATCTCTATTCATTCAGGTCAATAATATTTTTTGAGAATAATTTTAATTAAAAAATTTTATTTTTAAAATATTATATTGACGTGAATGAACATAACTAATTTTTAAATATTAAATCTTATAGGACCGTATACATTTGAGAAACACATAATAAAAAATTGCCTTTAGCGGTCGAGTTGGATCTTAGATGCTATTATAATTCCGTGTGAATTTATATTATATATTACGTATGTAGTCTTTTAAAGCGCGCGCCGAACAATTTTTCGGTCTTGTAAACAACACTCTACGAAACTACCGCAATAATATCACGAGTTAAATTATCTAGCAATTTAACAATTTTGATATTTATAGCATCTTGGACCTTAATAATGTTGAATGATATATTAAAAATCTGTAAATAATTAATTTATATCGCGAAAAATACTACCTCGGCCGGAAATCGAATTCGGATCTCTTACATTCCGTGCGAGCGTCCTTACCAGTTAGACTACCGATCTACATACGTAATATATAAATTCACACGGAATTATAATAGCACCTAAGATCCAGATCGACCATTAAAGATAATTTCTTATTGGTTGTGATAGTACTTTTATTAATAAAACAATTTACAATCAATAGAATAGAATAGCTTTAAGGTAACATCACAGATTATTATTACATATTTATTTAACGGCCGACCTCGATTTTAATGAAACTAGGCTTATTCAATGCGTTTTGCATGAAACGAAAGAATCTGGCAGAAAAAAGTGTCGCTCTGCCCTACGAACCGAGATATTAAGCGTTAAAGTTGACGACTGTTCAGGTTAGGAAATCTGTTATACCGACTACATTTTCCACGCAAAGTAACTCCCCCCCCCC